GACCTTCTTCAGCCTTATGCGTCCCATCTAAAATGGCCGGATCGACCAAATATCCTTCTTTTCTGAAAGATATTCTTTACAATTTAGTATAACTATCTTTAGCACTTTGCTTCAATGCCCTTCCGTACAGCCGTGAGCGGTAGTGTTCTTCGTGAAGGTCGAACACGGAACGCTGCTCTTTTAAACCAACTTGTCCCTCTGCAGCGTCTACTGATTGCTGAAAGCACTAAGTTTTTAGGAGTACCATCTACGGAAAGTGATGTGGATGCACTTCTTGTGAGATTTAGAAAAGCTCTTTGAACTAATTTATTCATATTGTTTTCTTTTCTTTGTCAGGCTCGGGATGTTGTTCGTGCTTCTGCGAATAGTGAGGAACAATTAAGTGCTTGGAAGGAGCAGTTGCTTAATACACCGCTTGGAAAACTAGCTATCGATACATTTTCCACTTATGTTGAACAGCATGCTGAAGATTTGAGAATTGTAAGTACTTTTAAACATCTGCCTATAAATCCAGTTTCAAACGTGACAATTTCCCTTAGATAATGATCCTGTTACCAAATGAGAAACCTTGTTTATCCTTGAAGATGTTAAAAAATGTGCGGGGTATCTTGACAATTGTGTCCAGTACGTGACAGTCAAACTCTTTGATTTTGCCATCTTCCTCAAACTCTTAAGAGGCGGGCATGAATTCGCATTAGATTTGCACTCAGATTGTTTCACCTCTACTGTTACGGTAGATACTAGGTGGCTTCAGCACTGATATTATGCGCTTATTGGTGGCACAACGATAACTCTTGAAACGCTGGAAGCTTATTCCGTGAATCTCTATATGTGAGCTTGATTATGATAGCATTACCCTAAGTTTAGATCAAGTATGGTAAGCGTAGCAGTAGCCTAAGCCAACTACAGTCTAACACCGCTACGTTACGTACGTCTTTTACCTTACTACGATGTTGTAAAGGATAAAATCCGTTACAAATAACGTAGGGGAAACGTACGAAAGTGTGTGTGCTCACTCCATCAATCTGAAGCATCAAGGACTAGAAAAGAGAAGTAATCTCGACAAAGTACACTTTTAGATCGAA